TTTTTGGTATGTAACTTTACCTTGATGAGTTATAGATCAAGTTTGCATTTCGTTTCGCTTCATTGATTTTTGACGGAATTATGGCATTTTTAATTTCTAACGGGAACCAGATTACACTTGCCGGTAAGGGAACAAGTATTGCTAATTCAATACTCTCATAATGCTTGTTTTTTCGTGGTAAATTCCTAAATGCTTGCCAATTTGTTTTTGCCTTTTGTAATAAAGTATTAAAATAATCGATTTTGTTATAAAGTGTTTCATAATTTTTAAACTTGCTTGATTTTCTTGTGGCATTCTAGAATTTATTCAAGCAAAAAAAAAAAATACAAAAAATATCGACACCACACAGTGATAAAAATTCACAAGTGTAGTCTTTAAGTTTATTCGTAAAGGCAACAGTATTGGTCAGAGAAAGAAACGGTTTCCTGATAATAAACATTTTCAAGACAAATGATTTTTTTCAGACTTGCACCTCAATTATTTGATTTAATACCTTTGATTCATTGACTTGTTTCCTACCAATTATTAGACCTTACTTTTTGTACTAATTTTGACAACGAAATTTTCCGTCTTCTTGATCAATACACAGGGCTCAAGGCGGGTATGACCGGTCAACAGGGAATGCTTACTCGTCCTAAGCACCTGATATAACTTCTGGAATTTCCAGGATTCTGTGTTTATGCCCTGTTCACAGATTTGTATTGTTTGTAGTTTTTATGAGATCGATCACTGTTCGTTATCTTCAGCCTTTTTCGTTGATGAAATATATGGAGATGACGAACAGTATTCAAGCTTTAAAGCGCATTCAACGAATATAAATCAGGACCAGAGCAAAGACGGACATCTAAAACATCAAAGGTGGGAGCAGGTGCCATGGGGGAGTGAGCATCCCCTGCCGACTGCTCACACCCGCGGTGTGCTCCTTCGCTAGTGATGATCGGCAAATAACGGGAAAATCCATCAACAATTCATTGTGTAAATAATGACCTTACAGTTATATGGAGTATGAAAAACATCAGTCAGCATTTGGCTTAATGATACATTGTATTTGCTGACAAGGTCATTGTATCGAGCATATAGAACTTGCGAAGTAATGACTTTAATCGAGACTGTTGATATTCTTGTTTCATCAATTTTTCTGTCAATAAATTACCTCTTTTTATTATATCCCCGCTCCGAAGGAGAAGGGGGGGGGTATACTGTTTTACCCTTGTGTGTCTGTCTATAACAAATTTTCGTCGCAGTTTTCTCAGCAACTACTCATCGCAGATTCTTGAAATTTATGCACACACTCTTGGTCTAGGCATGCTATGTGTTATATTAATCCGATGTCAACTTCCTGTTTATCTGTGCTTCTGTCTGTATCAAATTTTCGTGTAGTTCTCTTAGTAACTACTCATCGCAGATGCGCGAAATTTTAGCACACTCTTTGTTAAGGCATTACATATGGTGGGATTAATTTTTTTTTATTGAATTTGATGTCAACTTCCTGTTTATTCATGCATCTATCTGTACCACATTTCCGTCGCAGTTTTCTCAGCAACTACTCAAGGCAGATGCTTGAAATTTTAGCACACTCTTTATTTAGCATGCCATAGGGTGGGATTCATGAGAGCTTATATTCATATCAGAGCCGGTGTATTACTAGTGAGCATTGGCTCACAGATTTCTTGTTTATGATAGATTTGTAGTGAACATTCAATATTTTTTCATATGCCTATTTTTTAAAGATGAAAAGTTATTGAAAATGTAAGTATTAAGTTGGCAAAGAATATGGCGTGTTATTGTCAAAAACTGGTGAATAGCTTCCTTTCAAAGGAGGAAATTCTTCAAAACAATCCTCACAACAATCCAATTGAATTCAAATTACTATACTTATACTCGATTCCTAAACAACAAAACAATCTGTTTGCCCGATCATGACAAGGAACACGCGGCGAATAAGACCGGTCGACCAGGGATGTTTACTCCTCAATGGCACTTTATCTAATATCTAATTTTTTAAAGAGTCCATTGTTTGCTTTGCTCCCAGTTTGCAATGTTTGTAATGTTGATTACTATTCGTATTTCTATATTTCATTACAAAGAAAGATACGTAGGAGTTCCAGTAAATGTTTCTTTACTCTTTAATAAAGAATTAGTAGCAGTGAACGAGAAATTTAAGGAGTACTGTACAACAATATATTATATTATATGAATTGACGAGAGGCCCAAGGGCTTACTCACTTACCTGGGCATTTTGGCTAAGAAAAAGCAGAAATTATTCATTATTAAAGTTATATAAAAGTGCTCTGGGGAAGGGGGCATGCTTTTAACAAACTTGAATCTACACTACCTGAGGATGCTTCCATATAAAGATATAAACGTGGTTTATGTAGATTTTCAAGATTTTTTCCCATAAATTTATCTTCTATTCCATTGTAAAACTTTGATCATCCACTGTGTCCCCCCCCCCCCACACACACACCAAGGGTTTATGATTTGAACAAATCTGATTCTACACTACCTAGGGATGCTTCCAGCAAAATGTTTACCAGTCATGCCTGTGTTGTTCATGAGAAGATTTTTAACGATTTTCCTATGTACTCAAAAGTCAAAATGTCATCGCACATCGAGGCCCCTAAACCAGGGATCATGATTTGAACAAATGTAAAAGATAAAGATAATGAACAGTGATCGATCTCAAAAAATCCATAAACAAATATGTTAAGACACTGACCCCTGGAAATTCCAGATGTGGGATCAGGTTCCAAGGAGGAGTAAGCATCACGTGTTGACCGGTCACACCCACCGTGAGATCAGGCCCCAGGATCATAAAAAAAGACTTAAAAAGACTTAAACTTAAGTCAAATTTTCAATCACCTGTAAAATGTTTATCAATCATTGAATTATTCTCTAAGTTTGCAGATAACAACACTTTTGTAAAGCAATATTGAATAATGGTCTGCTTGACTTTTACATCATGTTAATAAAACATATATAGATTTTGACTAAAGCTTAAGATGTTTCATGATCCCGGGGCCAGGTAGACGAAACTTACCATAGCCAAATTCAGTATAAAAACAAACGTCTAACAACTGGTATGAGACAAGTCAGCCAAAATACGAGCAAATGATAGTTATACAGTTGTATTTGCTAAAAAGGTCATTATAGCAACAAAAGAATTTACGAAATGCCGACTTTAAACGAGGTTGTTGAAATTCTTGTATCAACTTATCAGTGAGTAGCATGCCTCGCTATAAAATTTAATCGTCTTCAGCGCAAGTTCTTGAGTAGCGAATAAGTTGGGAGACATAAACACGCTACGCAGATGATAGTGGAATATTTGAATGTAAATAAGGAAAGTTGACGTTGGAAAAGCTGAAGTCTTCTCATTTGTCATACAGTTTAGTTGTTAGTTGGCCTTTATATTATCGCCTATAGTCAGTAATACATCCAGATATGAAACACTTGTGGTAGATTCTGTGGTATCTTTTATTTCGAGTTCACCAGGATATATCGAGTCGAAATTTAAAATGAAATAACTATTGTTAATTGATAAAAATCGTCGATACATCTGAATGTCGTGTTGAAGGCCACTGCAAGTGTTTTCCTCTATTCAGGTACAAGTTTATGCATGAATTCTCTTTCATAGGAATATAAAAATCAGGTCGGCTAGTAATGGAGAACAATTAGTGCCCATCAAAATTCAAACAGTTTGTTTGAAGATTTTATAATTTATTAAATAATTTTATAAACATTTCCTAGGTATTTTTTGTTAATACATATTGAACAAAAAAGAGTGTAGAATGCCAAGATCTTCAATATGATATCCAAAAAAGGATGCTGATCTTTCAAATAAAGGACACTCAGGTAATAGCTTGAAAAGGGAAAATATTTTGATAAGCAATATTGATCAAAAGATGTTCAGAGTAATGTTCCAAACAATATGCAGTCTTTCAAGTTTTGCAAAACGGTCCCTGTAAGGACTTGAAAGACTGGTCCCTAAAGTTTTCTGTTCTACATAGCTCGAAAACGAAAAAAAAATTAATTGGTATAATTAATAAAAGATATTTCATTTGATATGAAGGAAATAGACTACTCAAATTAGGCGCTTAGAGAGGCCAAAAGTCTCTCTTTCATCAAAGAAACGTACAGTGACATACATATCAATAATACAATATTTAATCTTTTTAATTCTACTTAAAATGAGTTATTTGTACAGATACAAATATAAACAATAAATTTCTTTCTTTGTTTGTTACTACGGGAATTAACGTTGCAGCTATTGCAGAAAAAATATAACCGGCTTACACCGGTTTTGTATTTTTTTCTGCAACATTAATTCCCGTACGTACTATCAACCAATAAGAGTATTTTATTGTTTAAATAATGGACACTTAGTCCTCCACTAATGTTGTTAAATTCATCTCCCCTGGCCCATGGTTTAAGGTTCCAGTTTGGGGCTAAGTTGGTCAGATCTTTAAGCATCTTCACTGCTCATCGACATCTAGCAGGCAAATTGCTCAAATGATTTTATTGAACATCTTGTTTTCTGTACAAAGTGTATTTTATGTCCCCTAGGCCTAGGGATCAGGTCCTACGGTGGGTTTAGTAAATAATTTGTTAAAAAATTTTATGCAGTATACCTTATTCTCTTTGCTTCAAAATATTTAAGAGATAAACACAGGGGAATGATGTTCTTTATTGAGTCCTCATCATATTTCAGTTCAAGATGAGGCCTAATTGGTCATAACACAAGAAATTCACAATACTCAGGTGATAATCAAGGTCCATGGGCCTTTATTTTGAAAAATTGTACAGAAAATCTGTGGAATATTGTATTTATATGGTGAGAAATTTATTGCTAAAACTAAAATTCATGTACAAAAGTCAGTCATATATTGGCTTTAATAAACTCCAAATCAAAGTTGTGTGCCTGATGGTTATTTCTACAATCATTATTTTTTTTAGACATGTAAAATCTTTTATCTTGTAGCTATGTTGTTTTCTTCTTGCAGTTGATGTGATAGATTACTGTAAATATCACAAAGATGTGATTTTGCCAAACCCTGACAACTGTGCCAAGTATTTCCACTGTAAGAAATGGGCAAATCCATTGCAGGAATGCCAGTATCCTTCATTGTTTTCACAAATTACCAACAAGTGTGAACCATTTCCTACAGTGTTTTGTGGCTCCCGTCCAGAGCCTGTAGCACCATGTACGTACTGCACTATTAGCTGTATAGTCTGTTATATACATATAGATAGATAGATAGATAGATAGATAGATAGATAGATAGATAGATAGATAAAATTAAAAAAAAGAAAGGCAACACAGGTTAAAACGTTAGCGCATGTTCTCCAATTAGTAATATAAACACATGTTTTTTGGATTTGGTTTCAGAGGTGTTAACATACTGCCAGCATTTTATAGCTAGCTGTCAGATTCAATTATAGATAATGATTTTCAAAGTATTAATAGTTTTGTTAGACATTACAGTCAAGAAAACTTTACTATGTATTTGTAAAACGTCTGAAGATGATAATGAAAGCGCTAACGTTTTAACCTGTGTTGCCTTTCTTTTTTTTATTTTCTTCTTTTTTTTAATTTTATCTATATAAAAACCGGACACTGTAAATGTTTCAAATTTGGTTATATATATATATATATATATATATATATATATATATATATATATATATATATATATATATATATATATATATATATATATATATATATCTAAAACACAAGTTGTAAAACGTTAACGCTTTCATTTCAAATTCTTCAGACGTTTTACTTTAAACATTTGACGTTAAAATGTTTAAAGTAAAACGTCTGCAGAATTTGAAATGAAAGCGCTAACGTTTTACAACTTGTGATGTCGTTTTTTCTTTTTTTAAATATTTATTGCCGGACACTGTGATAATAATATAATTTATTATACATTTGGATATAGACAATATTTATTATTCATGTCAAGATAATATGTACGATAAAATATGAATAAATTAAAGTGATACGTCAACAAATATAGAAATGAAAAAAAAATTGTGACGCATAAAATCGAAAAGGGGCACGATAAAATAACTTTCAACAGCGTCAAAATTGACGTCAAATATTTTTTTTTTACTCTTTTTAAAAGTAGATGCCCTTCAAAGTTATTGGAATACGGAGTTAAGCCAACATTTATCTTTGATCCTATATCAAGATCCGTTGTTAATCAAATGAACAGTTGAAATTAAGTAATTTACTGGTTTTGCTATTTGTTTCTTATTGTCATTCTTCCATCAATTACTGCGTCGCGTACATCGTCAATAACGGTAGCGTCTATTTCCTTCGATCGTCCGGATCTTACACTGACTTGTATGCATTCTCTTCCATCTTTGAATCGTTTATCCCACTTGTAAACTACTGGTCGAGAACGTGAAGGGTGTCTCCAACCACGCACATCATATGTATAGTCTCTTATGGTGTCTTCCCTAGCTTGAAATAAAACTTCATAGCAACTCGTTGCTCTAGATATATATATATATATATAGATATATATATATATATATATATATATATATATATATATATATATATATATATATATATATATATATATATATATATATATATATATATGAGAAATTAAAAAAGCAAATAAATATCAAAGGTATTGGACGGCAAAGATTTCTTAAATATCAATAGATAATTAGGGTCACGTTTTCTACCTCACCTGAGCTGAAAGCTCAAGTGAGCTTTACTGACCTCATTTGCCTGTCGTCCGTCTGTTTGTGTATCCGTCTAAAAACATCACATTTTCAACTTCTTTTCCAGAACCACTCAGCCAATTTAGGCCAAACTTTTCAAAAAGACTTCTTTTTGTGATTGGGATTCAAGTTTGTTCAAATCAAGGGCTACACCCTCTTTTAAGGGGAAATAATAAAGAAGTAATGAAAATTTGATGGTATCATTTAAAAAGATTCTTTTCAAGAACCACCGGACCAAAAAAGTTGAAACTTATATGAAACCTTCTTTACAAAGTGTAGTTTCAGATTTGTTCAAATCATGACCTCCAGGGTTAGGGAGGGGCCACAATAGAGGATCAAATTTTGCATAGGAATATATAGGAAAAATCTTCAAAAATCTTCTCAAGAACGGCAAAGCCATGAATAGTCATATCAATATGGAAATATCCTCAGGTAGTGTAGATTCAAGTTTATTCAAATTATAACCACTGGAGGTAGGGTGGGGTCACAATGGTCTATCAAATATTGGCATAGGAAAATTAAAGAAAAATCTTTCAAAACCTTATTTTCAAGAACAGTAAAGCCATGATTAGTGATATTTATATGGAAGCATTGTGCTGTTATGATTTATTCACAGACCTCTCGGAAGAGGGTAAAAAAACTACAAATAAAATGACACATATTTAGACACAATCAATGCATAAGTTTCACAATAAAATATTTAACTGACAATGTGACTTGTTATTAGCTGAAGGTATCAATTATTAATAGCCTTTTGAAGAGAAAATGACACAATACAGTGTATCGATATGATATGTAAATGTATTATAAAAATGACCTAAATTGTCCGCCATATTTATCTGAGCCAGTAACAAAAATAGATATATAGAGGATATTCAATGTTTTGTAGATGAATATGGAATTTATTTCACAAGTGGGACAGGATTTTTTGATATTTTCACGAGTGCGAAGCACGAATGAAAATATCAAAAAATCCTGTCTCACGAGTGAAATAAATTCCATATTCATCTACATAACATTGAATTTTCTGTTTATTACATTTTCTTTGATTTTCCCTTTGCCTCTGTCTTTTCTTAACACAGTGTCATAGGCTTGACGTCATAGTTGAGCGGTTGAATCGTCATAGCTTAGCAGTTGTGTGATTGAAAACATTACATAGCATGGATTTTAGCGACATATTTGGGAAGAAATTTAGCTCTATCAAGATGCTTAGTTACTATCTCTATCTTATGACAGGCCAGAAATTATTTTTTACTTACTTTGATATCATTTCACACTGTGAGAGAATATCATTTTGGTATCCTTTCACACTGTGAGAGAATATCACTTTTATTCAATAAATAAATCACAGTATTTCACTGTTGAAAATGTAATAAAATGCAGAATCATGCAAAATATACATTATATACATTATGTTTACCAACGACATGCAGCGTACATGATATTTAAACGTTAATCAATCAATTTTTAATCACACATTACACTTATTTCATGAGAGGAGAAGACAAGCAATCAGACTGAAAACACTTTTTATTGTTGACTAGGGCGAAAACAATTCAAAATGAAATCAAAACCGGGGACGGATATTTCCGGACACTACAAGCATCCTCTGGTAGTGTAGGTTCAAGTTTGTTCAATCATGACCCCCGGGGCTAGGGTAGGATGACAATGAACAAACAAAGTTTTACTTATAAATATATAGGAAAAATCTTTAAAAATCATTCTCGAGAATAGGAAAGCCATGATTAGTCACATTGATATGGTAGTATAAATTCAAGTTCGTTCAAATCATGACCCCTGGGGGTTGGGAGGGGCCCCAATGTGTGACCGAATTTTTTACGTAGGTATATATATGAAAAATACACGTATTCTCATGAACAGAAAAGCAAAGATTAGATATTTAATTGGAAGTGTCCCCTTGTAGTTTACATTCAAGATTGTTGAAATCATGACCCCCAGGGGCAGGGAATCAATTTGCAATCTTTTATCGGTAGTAAGACAGTAAGGGAATGTACAGGTTCTCTGTCTGTCGGTGACCTTGAACTCGTCCAATTGACCTTGCGTCAAGCCATAACACACTCCGGTTATGACCAACCCCATATGTGTTATCAACTTGACAAGTTAACACATGTTATTTCAGAACATGCATCCAGTCAAAACAAATTTTCCTCAGTGACCATGAATTAAATCAAGGCCATGATACACTCTGCATGATATCAGCAATACCCTTTTGTGTGTTTTCGACTTTCAGACCATACATCGAAATAAAATATAATTTTTATAGTCGTAATTTATTAGGTTCAGCTCACTGCTTTAATGGTTCATTGTAAACGTTTTATGCCCAATTTGAATATTGAACAAGGTTTATTTGTGAAACACTGATGTCCTCATATGGCAGCTTATGGCGAAGGTTAAAGTTTCTCAAATGCAAGTCAAACTCGGTGGTCAAGAGAACAATAATGTTATTATCCAAAGAAAGGTCTTGACACAGAGAGTATAACTGTAAAATATGAAAGCCGTAGTACCAACCGTTCAAAAGTTATGGCCAAGGTTAATTTTCTTAAGAAGGTCAAACTCAAAGGTTAAGGGCAAAGGGTCATAACTGTTGGTACCCAAGAGAAGGTCTTTATACAAGGAATACACATGTGGTATTAAAAAAAAAAGCCTATTAGAAGCACCAACTGCTTAAATGTTATGACCAAGGTTTAAGTTTTTCAAAAGGAGATCATACTTCAAGGTCAAGGTGTCAAAATTGTTGGTATACAATGAAAGGACTTGTCACAAGAAATACTTCTGTGAAATATGAAAACCCTATCATTAGCCATTCAAAAGTTTTTGCCAAAGTTAAAGTTTTTCAAAAGTCGGTCAAACTCCAAGACCAAGGTCAATAATATTTATACCCGAGGAAAGGTCTTGCCACAAGGAATACAGATGTGAAGTATGAAAGTCCCTAGCACCAACTGTTCAAAAGTTATGGCCAAGGTTAAAGTTTTAAAATTTTGAAAAGAAGATCAAACTCTCAGGTTAAGAGGTCAAATATGTTGGTACCTAAAGAAAGGTCTTGTTGCAAGGAATACACATATAAAAAGGTAACCCATAGTTCCAATCAATCAAAAGTTATGGGCAACGTTAAATATTTTGCGGACAAACAGACTAACAGACAAATAGACAGAGGGACAGTACAAAAATGTATGCCCCCGGATCTTCGATTACAGGAGCATACAAAAATGTTTTGGGTTTCCGCACTGGCCTTAATTCTAGATCGTATTGTACCAAAGAGTACTTATCTAGTACATATTGCATTACGATACGCTATCATATCGTGTTCTTTTACGCAGACCATTTTGTTTGCCTTACAAAAAGATAAAAAAAACAAAACAAAAAAAAAAAAACAAGAAATCTGTGAGCCAGTGCTCATTAGTAATACCCCCGCTCTCATGTTAACTGTGATTAGTAGTTG